GGAGGAAGGAGCCATAATTGTATGGCCAGGGCGGGTGTTAACGCCGCCTTCGGTAACCGGATGATAAGGGCCCGCTGTGGAGGCTGCGTGGCAGGACGGTGCCGGCGGCTCCAGCAGCACGCTCTGGCTGGGCGATGGCAAACGCGAGGTGCAGCGAGTGTCTGGGGGCGTGGGGCGCCTTGGGGTCCCTCCCAGCTTCGGCAGAAATGAATCTCTTCTCCTTGCCTCACATGCTGGTGGCGTTAATGACCCAGAGTGTCTAGTTGCTAATGCACGGCTGCTTTAAACAGAGCAAATCCTTGGAGCAAGCCGTGGTTTGGCAGCGTAGCGTGCCGCGAGGCTGTTAGCGGTGACTTGAGGGGTACCGGGGCCCGTGGAGGAGGATGCGGCGCCCGTTGCACTAACGCTGATGCTCTGCCTTCCCCACCATCCCTGCTGTGGGCTCCCCCCATGCAGCTCCCTGTCCTCGTGCCACTGCAGCCGCCCCAGGCCCTGGGAGTCTCTGGTGGGCTCAGTCTCTTCCGCTGTCTGTCCCTGCAGGAGGATCGAGGACTGCCTGCCCCCGCTGGAGGACTCCCCATCCAAGAGGTTCTCCCCCTCCAAGCGAAAGCAATATTATATCAACAAGGCCATCCGCAACTCGGACCTCATCCCCAGGGCCAAGGGGCGCAAGAGCCTGCAGAGGCTGGAGAACAGTAAGTGTACGGGGCAGGGTCTGGGCGCTGGCTCTTCCCGGGCTGGGTCTCTGCCCCAGGGCAGCGGCCGCTGCCCCTAAACCCTCTCGGGGCCTTTGCTCTTTCCCCCAGCTCGCTACCTGATGACACTTCTGGAGCGAGATGAATGCGTGAGCGACGAGGGAGAGCTCGCCCACTCCGCCACCCCGAGCATCTTCACCGAGGCCTGTAACAACGAGACCTACGTGGAGGTAGGCGCAGCCACCCCCCTGCTCGGGGCTCGCCAGGGAGGCCCTGGCACGGCATGGGCTGTTCTGGCAGTACGTGGTGTCCATAGCACGTTCCTCTGACCCAAAGAGCCCTCTGCCTCCCCAGCCTGAGCTCCTGTGCCCTTGCTCCTGCCTGGCGTCAGAGTTGGGGCTGGCATCCATATGCCTGGTGCCTGGCTGCCGCTGCCTGTGCTGGGGGGTGATCAGGTCCCAGGGCCCCTGGTGCTGCAGCCTGTGGGGTGAGGGGGTCTCTGGTCAGATCCTCTTGTGGAGGATCCACACAAATGTGCGGTGCAAGGGCTGGCAACGTGCAGCGTTGGACCTGCGGGGCGGCCAAGGCGGGGTGAGCTGCAGCACTTCCTCCCAAAGAGGCCCCTTGCCAAACCCCTCTTGCTTCATGCTGCCCGGCCCGAGTTGCGATACCGGCTCTGTAACTGGACGTTTTGAAACTTGGCTTCTCTCCTCTTTGCTGCTCGGGGCTTTGGCTGCAGAGTGACCTGCGTGGTCTCTGCGCTCGTGGCGCCGCAGAGCTCCTCTCGCTTGTTCAGGCCAGGCTTAGGAAGCCTGATCATAGAATCATAGAATGTTTTGGGTGGGAAGGGACCCCTAGAGGTCACCCAGCCCAACCCCCCTGCAGGAGCAGGGACACCTTGAACCACATCAGGTTGCTCACAGCCCCGTCCAACCTGGCCTGGAATGTTCCCAGGGATGGGGCCTCCACCCCCTCTCTGGGCAACCCCTGCCAGAGTTTCACCACCCTTATTTTAAAGAATTTCTTCCTTAGATCCAGTCTAAACCTCCCCTG